CTCCATCCATCTATCCTCCATCCATCCATCATTCATCCATCCATCATCCATCCATCTATCCTCCATCCATCTATCCTCCATCCATCCATCCATCCATCCATCCATCCTTCTAATGGCCTTCCTTGAAGCCATGTAGGAAAATTAGATGTAAAGGCAAAATAATTATATTATGACTTCATAGTGCATCCATTTATCAATCCTTTTAGTTTTAAATCTTGAAATCTCAAATTAAATAAAGATGTATTGCTTAAATGACGCCCCCCCCCCCCCCCCCCCCAGTAAAACCAAAGGAGGGCTCCCACTTTCTTATTTCATAACTTTTCACCCGATCATATTTGTAGATTTCCTGTTGAATAGATTTATTTATATTATTGTTAGTTTTTGTTGATGTAAATAAATACTGCCTTCAACTTTAGAAAAACAGTCTTTGACTAAAGTTGGAGAAATTAAACCTCCTTAGATTTTCCTTCGCTGCCTTGAGCCAAGAACATGCTCCTCCTCTTCCTCATCATCATCTTCCTCATCCTCCTCTTCCTCAGACTCCTCCTCCTCATCATCATCATCAATCTGAGCTCCTCCACATCCTCTCCAGCTTTCTCTCTTTTCTATCTGCAGTTCATCCTTTTGTCTGACGGTGGCGCAAGTTGACCGATTTTTCTGTGAAGATGTTAAAAATAAAGAAGAGTCTCACTCTGATCTATTTTCCTTCTACCAGAGGAAGCTCATTTATCCGGATAAAGGAAGACATCAGAGATTGCTTTATTTTTATCCACAACAAAACCAGGGAGAATAAATTAGAATAGAAAACTATTTTTAAGGTTTATGCCAGATAATGTCAAAGTTGAATCTAGAGTGAATCTAATGAAAGGGGCGGAGCTCTGTCTGCAACGTCACAGCAGGCTGACCGGCAGCGGAGGACAGTTTAAACTCAGCCGGTGTCACCCGGATGGTAAACAGGCTGCAGGGAAGCCAGCGGGGCAGGCCGCACAGCTGACCGGCTGTCCCCTCCTGTCCGCCGCGGCGGATCATGAAGGTTAACCGCCTCCTTGCTGCTAAACACTGAAGATGCGGAAAGACGTGAGGATCCTGCTGGTTGGGGAGCGTAAGATAAGCTCGGTTTATTCCTGCAGTCAGACTTTAAATAACACTGATGCTCCCAGCATGATGATGATGATG